ATAACTTTCATAAGGATTAAATTACATTTGTGACGTCATTCCATTGTCTGTTTGCTCCATTACTTTTCAGGAATGGAGCGATGTGTACCAGTTTCAAAATAACACCTTCATTTTGTCATTTTGACATTTAATCTTGATAACAGAAATATTCCCAATACTTCGAATGTAATTTAAGTAGGGTAATATCCTCGTAACTCGTAACTCTCCATTCCTTAAAAATAATGTGCCTCGGCCCCTCCGGGGCCTCGGCTCCATTATTTTTAAGGAATGGAGAGTTACTCGGACATTACCCTCTACATAAATCCAGGTTGCATACGAATGTTTTAACCCCTGAGTTATCTCATGGCTCCCTCGCTGAGTATTCATGCCCTGTGACCTCACGGTTGTTCTGTGATTTTTGTATATGTACATCATCCAGGGCTCCAGATAAGTTTTCATGATCAGGAGCCCTGCATCATCCCTTGCCAAACTGACAAGCAGTAGTGTCATTGCGAACAATCTGTCTCAGGAAAAGGTTCTAAAAAAATAAATGTTGGCACCATATCTCAGTATCCAAAGAAATCACTGTGATCCTATAAGTAAACCTATTCACAAGGGTAAAAACGTACGTTGCAAGATTATACCTGTCGTTTCATTGCTCGGTCCTCTACTAAGAACGGTTCGACCGTTTTGGCCTCATCCCGTGTATTTTCGAGGCGCTGGTAATGGAAAGAACGCAATGAAATCATTACGGAATAGACTTTTTCTTGGCTATTTTCCTTTTGAGCGAAGAATCGCTTCTGGATCCAAACATTCCACCTTAACTGTTTGTAAGGACACAAGGGCTGAACCTGAAGTAAATTAATAATAATTAGTATATAGTGATAGGGAAAGGGGTCATTTGGGCCCACAGAACTTGAATTTGAATGCGATAGGGGCACACAACATGAACTTGTGTATTGTAGTTATTGTTGATTGTCCTCCATTTCTGAATTGCAGCAGATGGCACGGACACAGTGCATGTACAATACATTTTAGGGGCCCTTGTATAACTCTACATAAATCAATCAAAATTTCGAAGAGGCACTTCACCCTTGTTGAACACGTACTCTGCGACACAAACTAACTCTCTAATGTCAACCGGATCAATTCATCAGGAGACTCGTAGAAAAACCAAAATGAAGCGCTTATAAAATATCTTGAAAAGCCCAATAAATGAAGACCTTCCAATCGCCATGTAATCAGTTGTGTTGATTCTGAATAGAGGGGAATGACAGAGAACAACTATCGATGATTTCATTTCCATACAGTTCCAGGATCTGATTTTCTTACGCACCTGTGGGTGAGAAACCGGTGTGAGTGAGTGAGTTTAGTTTTACGCCGCACTGAGCATTATTCCAGCTACAGTCAGCTCTCGTTAATCCGACACTCATTAATCCGACAATCACGTTAATCCGACAAAAAAATTAGGGAACCATTTAAAACAGTGATAATTACTCTTGTTAATCCGACATTCTCGCATTCCGACTCCTACACGCCAATCTAGCAGCTGATTATTGTAAATACAGTGTAAAAAACATTCTTTAATCCGACAATCAACACAGCCGGTCGGATGATCCGACCGTATATCCGACCGTATACAAACAATCACACGTGAGTGATAATTAGCGTGTGCCTTACTGGCTGCTTGACAGCGGCGTCAGTGAACATCAAACTTGTTAATTAGGAACACAGGATAATTAATTGAGACGATTTAATCAAGAAATAACAGTGGAGCGAGCTGTATAAAATGTTTATGATACAACCGACATGAGTTTTCATCACAAGATATTGGTCACGAGTACACCACCTGCTAAGCGACCCCTTGTAGAAGTTACGCCATTGATCAAGAAAGAAATTTCCTTTTGAAGAAAGACAAACCCCAGACAACACAACAAGAAGTCATCACTTTTGCTGAGCAGAAGTTTGATGTGAAGATTGGACGATCAAGCGTATCTGACATCCTGAAGCAGTCTGCTTAGTGGTTGAACGTCTCTATGACTGATTCCAATGCTTCAAGCTATCTGAGGCCAAAACATCGTTGAACACTTTGCAAACATTTCTGACACACCACTTAGATGTGTTTGATGTTAATGACCATCAAAGGTTTTTTCGAGTTATAAATTATATATGTTATGATACACGCCTGAGTGTACATTAGACGTCCACATGTTATTATGGAATTAGTTGTATGGAAACTGTAACATCCGGGTCATAATGGCAGCTGATATGCGGTAAAAACAAACGTGTGCCAATGTGGTCATGAAATAGATATGAAACTGTTCGCTTATGTGAATGTATATGTATGTTATGCCATCTATGAATGTTAATAAATGAAAACAAGTATGTATTGTTAGTATTTTTTATTTCTGTGAATATTTTTACATACGATGAAGATAACTAGATCTACCATTTCTGATATGCATGTATATGTCGGCGGTCTGTAAATAATCGAATCTGGACCAGACAATCCAGTGATCAACAGCATGAACATCGATCTGCGCAATTGGGAACCGATGACATGTGTCAACCAAGTCAGCGAGCCTGACCACCCAATCCCGTTAGTCGCCTCTTACGACAAGCATGGGTAACTGAAGGTTCATTCTAACCCGGACCTTCACGGGTAGAAACCCTGTGAGAAAACTGGTATCAAACATATGTTTGAGATCTATTTCCAACCTGTGATTGGTTACTCCATGGTGATGACCTTGGGTCTTAATTGGTCTCAATTAAAATTCATTGATAAGTTTCTCGTGCTTCAATCGAATGCAGACCTGTTACTCGTGCCAAACACTTTAATTATCCTGCCTTATTTGTGTGATTGTCTTGTAGTATGTTATTATGAAATAAACCGAAATTAGCTTAGATAGCAACATGTATCTATTTTCCTTTTATGTTTTCCTTTGTCGTCTGCTACCGTAGTTGCTGCAGATTAAGCATAGTCACGACTTCAAAATGGCCTCAACAATAAATAACATCTGTGTAAACGATTACGTGAAGATCGATGGCAAAGACAAAGGGCGTGTTATCTCCATTGTGGCCCCCCTTGGAACATACAACATGTACAACATTAGAACTTACACAGGGGAGATGCGACAGGTTTCAAGGTAACGTCTTACGAAATTACCTGACACGGTAACGTCAGTGCCAGTTTGTGGTGAGATCGATTTACCTACTGACTTAATTGATGAACTGATGAAGGATGAATTTTTACCGATGAACCTGGTGATTGTAACGATACGGATCGATCCCCAAACCCTGAACAACTATATGATCATTCGCAAATTGACAAATTCGTTCATGACAATGAGAACCGAAACGCACAACGTAAAACAATGTACAACATGGGGCGTTTGCAAGGGTTCATGATTGCAAATGGCGACACACGTCCTATCGTGTCCATCCAACCAACAGAAGAACTTTGTGACATTTGGTGTACATTTTTATTAGCCTCAGAAATGAAGATGATAGCAATTATGAACCATCTACAGTTCGTGGGATGTTGTCCAGTTTTGACAGGTACCCTAAGTCAAAGCCCTTCATCACTTATTAATGCAAATGATTCAAGAAATGCTGTGATGATCCTTACACCTAAATAGTGTGTGCGCGCGTGCTTGCATACGTGTGTGGCGGGGGTACCCTACATCCGGCCGAAAACTAAACTCACTCACTCACTCATTTGTTGTGTTTAGTTGTCAATGGTTCATTGTCTTCTTGATTTTGTTTCCGTTTCAACACCTTTGATGATCCCCACAGGGTACCAACGTTTCACACGTCTGTGCAGTCTTATTGCAGTAAATTGGGATGGCATGCATCTCATCTTTTCGAGAACTATCCTGTTTTCTGTGGAACAGAGGGGACTTACAGTTGGAAAGTCAGAAATGTCGAATACGTCTTTTAACCCGACTTCATAGATGTAATAAGAGAGGATGCTGTAGCACAAGGAATCAGTTGTGCTTCTGATCCACAGGTAGATACGATGTAGTTGTGGTAGAGATCGTAGAATATTATCTTGGATACATTTAGAATGGAATTCAGATACAATCGCTCCTTGAGGATATGGACTGCACCTAACTTGAAATTTCCTCAAGGCGTGAAAAGAGCTTTTGCTCATGATAATTCCGGCCCTCCTTTGTCCTTAAACCAACTTCACATCCACGTGCCTGCGTAAATTCTCCATGAAGAATTCACCGAAGGTTCATTTCATCAATTTGTAGCGATCCTTTTTCAAAGTGAACCCTGAACCTACACTACACTGGGTTATAATTCAATCTATTCTTTCAGCCAAGATTCGTGGTTGAATTGGAGCATCCAGTGGACTTTGGCCAATCTTCAACCCAAAGAGAGGTAAAATTTCAGATACTGATAATGGATCACTTACTTCGAATTGGACTGAAGACCGGTGATAAGTTTTTTCTGTGCTATAGTCCAATCTTTCAGGACGTGTTCGGCATATGGCGAGAACATGTCTTCTGTCACTCTCAGTCTCACAGATGCTAGGGATATACTTCGTGTAAGTCATGGCGTTCACGAGGATAGTCCCCTCTGCACTATCCAGGATACAGGTAGCTAACATAATAGACTTAACAAATATATATATTAAAGCTGCATCACTTAATCACATCACTAGGAACCACCACTAGTGAGTGAGTGAGTTACTATTTAACGTCACATCAGCAATATCCCAGCCATATCGTGAAGAAAACAATCCATACAATAAACAGTGGAAACAAAAAAGACTAGAGAATCACAGATATAAATATACAACTAGCGAGCAAAGTTAAAATATTCCAATCAAAGAAGACAATACTATATAAAATACGGGCTATAGATCGCCAACAACTGAAGGTAGATCACAATACTAGGAACCCACACTAAGTACAGTTGTACTGACAATAACATGCGTGGACATACACTATCAAGATAGAACTTCTCTATGTACTGTAACAGTTTTTCAGTATAACAATATAATACCGACTGCTCTTCAGAGCAATATACATAATCGAATGTCTGCACATACAGCAACTCACATTACTATCACACTGGCTCTGTAACCTAGCGACAGCAACACGTTGAATTACAACAGATCTTAGTCCCACTGTCACAAATCTGAAACATACAACAAAATGTTAAAATACTGAAAACGACATGCTTTACATAGAAACATGACGTAGTGGCCGCGCTTGCACTGGAGCGAGAATACACAATTCAAGTCTTAATCCCCTGAAATACCCCTGTTTAGCGCCACCTGCTGACGCAGACTACTCTACTCACATTAAAGCTCCACACCACTAGGAGAAAGTAATTACCTTCTTATTCATCCTTCAAACGAGCTTGTCATCCGTCGACTATCAGTCGACACTACAATGTGAGTGAACATTACATTTAGACCACAGGGCATCGATCTTTCGTTGTCCACTCGGTAACTGGCTGTCATGGATAGTGGAGTGCAGTAACATAGATCCCTGTAGATCCTAGATAGCCTAGATAGCGTTCAGGTAGAGTCGGTCTTATCGACAGGTGGTGTAATGTCCCCCTCAAGTACAAGGATTCTGCGATCACCCATCCCTAGTACACTGCAATAAATATAGTTGCGACCAGGGTATGAATAAACGCCTTTAAACATAAATAATTTAAGTTTTTAATTATCTTAATATTACGGCATCTCTTGCCAATTTCTAGGATCCATTTGTGCATAGGAAAGATACAACATTGCTAAAACACTTACCTCACATTCACTACGTTCACTAATATTTTGCTGCAGTTGACCTAATGCTTTGGAAACGTATGTCAGTCTGCACGGTAGATTGACAGTCCGGCTTGGTCACTGGGTCATCTTGATCTGTAGCCAGTCTGGTTTGTCTGTCCTTTAGTCGACTATTCATCGGCCGGGATCATACAGCTGAATTACTACTGCAATCGTCGGTAAACAACAAATGAATATCACAAGTTATGATATTTGTTAAATAGCTTTCCTGCTAGATGTGCAATATAACTCACAAAACCAATAAACAGTGTTGTGTACATTGATTTTATATTGTGAAAACACTATCAACAAAGACGATAACGCGTGCAAGAGATACATTTTATGCAAAAAAATGTGAATAACTGGAGGTATTGCTAATAGAAATTACATATTGAAAGTGCGTGTGTGCTTCTGCGTATGCGTGTTTGAGTGTGTTTGTGTGTATGTGTGATGATGTTTTTCGTTTGAGTGCATATGTGCGTGCGAGCGAGTGTGCTTGTACGTGTGCGTGCGAGTGTGTGTGCGTATGTGCGTGTCGTTTCTGGGCCATCAGGTACACGTATCTCCGTACATCGGATCTGAAAGGAACACACAGTTGCCAGCTACTACGTCAATGAGTGACAAACATAGCTTATAACCAATGCGCACTAAATTCATGGTTCAAGGGTTGGAGGGACAACACAGATGATTGAAATGGGTTCTATCCTTCCACACTTTACGGCAAGTACTATGTACCAGGTCAATACTGGTGGTTTTACTGGTTCCGACTCTACCTCACCTATCGTTTTTCCACAACATTAAGCGCCGCCATATAGCTGGAATATTGCCGAGTGAGGCGTAAAACTAAACTCACTCACTCTACAACATTAAGACAAGCATATATTTAAAGGACTGCGTGCTTATCTTGGAACAAACTGGCTACTTGCGAATGGCAATTGGATTATTCAAACGTGAACATGATACGTGTGATAATAATAGAAGTGTTTAAGTGAAGTTCTGTCATCGAGATTACATGGTACTATCATGGAATAATAATCCATACGAAAATTCATTATTAATTATAACCACTACAAGCGATATATTAGGATTCAGATATTAGGAAAATATAAAATATAGAATATTAGTTTCATCATGTATTTGTAATAGCTTAGAGAAAGACTCCAGTCAAAAGTAGTAAAACTCATCTCACAGACATACTATTGAAAAAGGTATAAGTTACAATATCACAGATGTTGAAGATAAATACTAGCCTAAGGTTTCAAGGACTCAAACCTTTCAGTAAGACAAAGTAATGTCTAGACGATTTAATGAACTGCTTTCATAAAGTAAACATGTCATCACCTCCATTAAAATATATTGCGCAAACACTTTAAATTAGGGTCATTAAGCCATCTATTGTAACACCATAGTCAGCACAATTAGTGCCAGTTAAATAAGGAAGCTTCCAGGACATGTGTCAGCACAATTAGTGCCAGTTGAAATAGGATTACTAGGATTAAGTAATAATAAATATACACTTGTATAGTACTCTCCCTGTCTGGTCATTTCATCTGTAGGACACACCCCATACCGCATATTCTGTATTTCATTGGTTAGTATAGGGAACACCCATTTTGTATCATTCAACGAATCTTTTTATCGTTTCAATTTTAGATAAATAGTGACCAACTCCATTTGCTTGTCAGTAGGGTTTAGACTCCCAACACAAGTCATCTCTAACCCTCAGCCCAGAGGGTTGTACCGACTCTCTGTGGCCACCCCATGTTATTTTGTTCTTGTTAATAAAACTGTAATTAGCTTCTTGTGACTTCGGACTCTTTGCTGAGCTAATTCCCCAAAGCAGACCAGCACGTCAGCTAGATAAGGGGGTTTCACCGGAACCATCACTTGGGCCAAAAGACCCTTATCATATTAGTTGGCGGAGAATCAACGATTTTCGGAACCTCGGAGCCCAGGAACTAACTACAACCAGTTACAAGAACACATGGAATAACAAGCGACTGCATCTACCTCTGATCTCAGCACTGGATTAAGGACCACCAACTCTTAAAGTCACCAACCAAGGAAGAAAAAATCTTCAAAAATTGTAAGTACTCCTTTACATTGTTGATTTCTTGTCTTTCTTAATTATAGTACGGTACATACTATAAGGTGTCATGGCCAATATGGAGTCTGGTATGGAAAGTAACTTTGCAAGTGAAATTCCAACTGTGTCCTTAGTTACGCCCCTTGCCAAAAGTGTAATTCAGGTAACATTTGGCACTGAAACAACAACTTGTTTAATAGATACAGGGGCATCCATTTGCTGCATTTCGTTTGCTTTTCTAAACAAAGCTTTCAACAAACCAGTTTTTGGAAACTCACCTTTTCCACACATTCAAGGTGTTGGCGACGAATTGCACAAAGTGTTGGGTTCAGTTGTGTTGGATTTTGTCATTGAAGATCAGGAATTTTCACAACAATTCTATGTCCTGCCCTCATTACCACAGTCAGTCCTACTAGGTGAAAACTTCCTCAATGACAACGATGCAGTCTTAGATTATAGCTGCCATTCCCTCATAATAGGGAACAGCACCTCAGATAGGCAATACATCAATTTCATTGCCACTTCAGTTCAAGAAATTTGTGGATTAGCAAAAACAATAGATCAAATTTATATGCCCCCTCAGAGTGAAATTCATTTTAAGGTAAAACTGCCTGAGGTAAAAGATGATTCCCTCATCCTCATTGAACCAATCGCCTCCCTCACTGCTCATTCTGAAGTAGCAAGTGGTAGGACCCTCTCAAAAGCGCACAGGAAAACTGCTACGTTTAGGCTTATGACAAGAAGAAAAGGTTTTAGACAAGGGTACAGTTGTAGGCAAATTTTGTTACATTGACAACCACTCTATCTTTGAAACTGACTGCAACCAACCTTTCATAAATACAGTTAACAATAACATTAAGAAAACAGACAATGACACTAGGGATTATGTCAAAATTGCTCAAGATTTAGGATTCGACTTGACCAAGACTCAACTGACGCCTGACCAACAACAAAGACTACTCAGCTTTTTAGGACAAAATAGAGACATGTTTTCAACAAGCCTTGCAGATTTAGGAAAAACTGTCATGCACGAGCATGTCATTGACACGGGCAACCATCCCCCTGTTAAGTGTAGGCCTTATCGTCAGTCTCCCCATCTCCAAAAAGTCACTGAAGAACTTGTAGAAGATTTTCGCAAATATGATTTAATTGAGGAGTCCACTTCAATGTATTCAGCCCCCATCATGTTAGTTAAGAAACGTGACGGCTCATATAGATTTGTTTGTGACTACAGAAAATTAAATTCTGTCACATTACCAATGTCATGGCCACTCCCTGTTTTTGACGATGTTGTTGATCACATCGGCAATGGCCAAGCTACAATTTTCTCCACTTTAGATCTTGCCAATGGCTTCTTCCAAGTGCCATTACACGAAGACTCGAAGAATAAAACTGCTTTTGTCACCCATCAAGGCCTTTATCAATTCAAACGTTTGCCCCAGGGTTTGTCTAATTCTCCACTTTGTTTTCAGCAACTCATGAGCAAAGTGCTAAGAAAATTGCTTTTCAAAGTTGCGTTGATTTACATTGATGATTTGATAATCTACAGCAAAAACTTTGAAGAACATCTCCAACATTTGGAGCAAGTCTTCTACTATCTCAAACAGGCAAAATTAACACTGAAGCCATCAAAATGCAATTTTGCAACAGACAAGGTTTCATTTCTTGGTCATGTTTTATCCTGCGGAGGTGTTCAAGTTGATGACAAAAAGGTCGAAGCAATTAAAACCTTCCCAATACCCAAATCACAAAAACAGGTTCGTTCATTTTTAGACCTCACACATTTTTACAGAAAATATGTGAAAGATTATGCTAAAATAGCACTGCCATTGAATGCATTGTTAAAAAAGCATTCAGAGGCAGAAACTGGTAAAAAACCAAAGTTCCAGTGGTCACTTGAGTGTGACCAGGCTTTCAACACACTCAAACATGCTATGTGTAACACACCCGTTCTGGCTTATCCAGACTTTGACAAAGAATTTTTTCTCGCAACTGATGCCAGCGATATGAGCATAGGGTTTGTCTTAAGTCAAAAAGACGAGAAGAATAATGAACACCCTATAGCTTTTGGAGGCAGAGCTCTTCACGGCAGCGAGAAGAACTGGAGCATCACAGAGAAAGAAGGTTTAGCTTTAGTTGAAGCCATTAGATCATTTCGTCCATACCTTGCAAATTCCCAATTCACTGTCTACACAGACCACATCTCATTAAAATGGCTCAAATCCATCAAGGATGCCACAGGTAGGTTAGGGCGATGGTCATTAGAACTGTCTACCTATACTTTTGATATCATTCATCGCAGCGGTAAAGCCAATGGGAATGCCGATGCGCTCTCACGCAGGGAATATGAGGAAAATATTAACTGTCAGAATCAAACAGAAGAAGATGCTGAGAAAACCGTCTTTACAGTAAGTTCACTTGGGAAAAGAAGCCACACCAACATTTCAACAAGCCCACAACTATCCTCACACGTCACCCAATCAACTCAGACTGAGGATGATTGCATACCAAGTGTTAATCACTTAGTTAGTGAAACACAGACAACTCATTTGTCTGTCACCTTTGAATATGAAGCGGACTACCAAACAGTACCAGCAAACATTGTTGCAGCATTACACGCTACAAGTGACGATGTCACACAAGCCACAATGGTTCAGGTAAATATAAATGCACATCCCAACTTGCATCATCTACAAAGGATTTGTCCAGATTTCACACAGATTTTCGACTACAAAGAAGATGATGTCCTTCCAGAAAATGAAAAGGATCGCCAAAAGATTCTTATTGAAGCCACTACCTTTGAAATCGATGAAGGAATTTTATACAGATTTGTCCCACAGAGACAGAAGGGCCATGCGGACAAATTCATTAAACAGCTGGCAGTTCCAAGAACTCTCAGGAATCAGGTCCTGAGATCCTACCACGATTCTGAGTTTGGCGGTTGCCACCATGGAAAAGAAAGGATGCACAACACCATGAGACCAAAATACTACTGGCCCAAGATGTACACCGATATTGCGACATATGTTCAGACATGTGAGGTATGTCAACAGACCAAGAGGCACTACCACAGCAAAAAAGGCACCTCTACGTCCACTACCTGTTGAAGAAGTCTTCACCCGATGGCATGTTGACATCCTTGGTCCTTTACCAACAACATCAGATAAGTACAAGCACATTTTGGTCATCACTGATGCAGCATCTAGATGGTGTGAAGCCTTCCCCCCTGAGAACCCAAGAAGCCACAGAGGTAGCAGATGTTCTCGTGAGAGAAATATTTTGTCGGTATGGCGCTCCAAGGACCTTAATTTCAGACAGAGGTCAGAACTTCATGTCCAAATTAATCAAGGCTATTTGTGAACTTTTGGCAATCAAATTCACTCATACCAGCCCATACCATCCCCAAACAAATAGCTGTGTAGAAAGGCTCAATTCCTACATCAATCAATCACTAAGAGCCTATTGTAACAAAACTCAAAATGATTGGCCCCGGTTTCTTCCAGGCATCATGATGGCCTATCGGATGGCTCCAAATTCATCAACCCAAAAGTCCCCTTTTGTTATGCTTTTTGGCCGAGAAATGAGAGCTCCACAAGACGTTTCGTTAATTCCAAAGGAAAATTTAGGCCACAACCACAAAAGCTATCTTTCAAATTTGCTTGAGGAGTTAGAAATTACAAGGACTATTGCAGCTGAAAACACCACTCGAGCAAAGGAAGTGTATTCTGAACAATACAATCGTAAGGCTAGAGAGCCAGATTTCTCCCTAGGCCAAAGAGTTTGGCTATATTGTCAAAAAGTAGAAAAAGGCCTCTGCAACAAGTTAACAAAAAAATGGTATGGCAGTTACTACATTGTTCATTTAGGTCCAAATTTCACCTACAAACTACGCCGAAGTTCTGACGACAAATTACACAAACCACTGGTCCATGCCAACCGTCTGAAGCCATATTTCGATCCAGCTGCTCGCCCACAGTATCCGCCAGAACCATACCTCAACAACAGCAACAATATGGATTCAGACGTGGTAGATGACAACGAGGAACAAGTCAACGACCCACAGCTTGACAGCAACAACGCCCAGTCAACAAGTTCAACCAAAGATCAATCACCTGTACAACAGAGAGGTAAGAAAACCAATCCAAAAACGAAGGCACACAAACCAAATACTACGAAGAAGAAAGCCACTCCGGAAAACTCTGCTGGCCTCAGTGCAGCAGTTACTAAGCAGAAGCAGAACACCCCAGGTCCAAGTAATCCAACCAATCGCAAGGAGAAAGGAAATACAAACAAGGGAAAACGAGGAATAAACAACAAGCATCATCAGCCAAAATCAAGGCCACAATCAGAAGCAAGTCAAGTTCAACAACCAACCCAACAACCAACGTCAACAAATGATGCCAAGGTTTTCAATCCTGATGACATTCACTCAATTCTTGCTTCCAAGAGAGCAAATAACAAAATCTACTACAGAGTGAAATGGACGGATCCAGAAAGAGGAAACACATGGGAATATGGCAGCAGCATTTCAGACTCAATTCGGAGAGAATTTCACGTCAAGAGAAACATGTCAGGAAAACGACGAAAACGGCCACTGAAGAATCACAAATTTTTCAACCAAAGAGAATCAACACAAAACGATAAATCGGTCAATGTACTGTCAAAAAAGTTTCAGACAGCAATCAATCATTACAGACCCAGTATTGGACGTTGAACCATACCCAATGGAACCTATACACCTACGAGAAATCAATCCAAATATAAAGAGAGTTGTGGGCATTGAAATAGTTCAAGGAGACTGCTATGTCAAAGTCTCATATAACTATGACAAAAGTGATCATAGATATCATACAGCGTATTTTGAAGCTGTTCCTCTCCTCTCATACAGGATTACCTCAATGAGAGTTGGGTGGATCTCTGTAAATGGTTTGATACTGACACCCCAGAGGATTATGATACTCCTGGTGAATTACCCATCTATAAATCCAAACACTCTTTTGTACAAGAAGAAGGCACCGGCATTGTTGGCTCCTTTGAATACCGTGCAGTGCACACTGATTACAGATGCCATATACCTTACCAATATTCATTCCCGACCCACACCTGTGGTCGCCAGATAGTCATATTCCTGCAAAAGGTACAGCACCTCGTTAACAAATGGATCTGTTAGCTCTGGGTAACGTATATTTGTCCTGTCATTTCACTTAGTGTTACCTGATATCACTAGTTGTGAGCAAATGACATCAGCCTGATCATCTGAGTTATTTGCATCACAACAGATTTTGAGCATTGATCTGATCAACCAATCTCAAATGCAAAGTGAACTCATATAAACTTAGCCAACACGAAACGAAAGCGAAATACTCTGCACCGAAGCAGAACGAACTTAGCCAACACGAAACGAAATCGAAATACTCTGCACCGAAGCAGAATGAACTTAGCCAACACGAAACGAAAGCAAAATACTCTGCACCGAAGCAGAACGAACTTAGCCAACACAAAACGAAAGCGAAATACTCTGCACCGAAGCTGAACAAACTTCGCCAACACGAAACGAAAACGAAATACTCTGCACCGAAGCAGAACGAACTTAGCCAACACGAAACGAAAGCGAAATACTCTGCACCGAAGCAGAACAAACTTAGCCAACACGAAACGAAAGCGAAATACATCCCACCGAAGCGGAACAAACTTAGTCAACACGAAACGAAAGCGAAATACACCATCCTGAAATGGAACAAACCTTACCCAACGCAAAACGAAAACGAAATACACCGTCCCAATGTGGAACAAACTTAACCAACGCGCAATGAAAGCGAAACAAACCTACCAACGCGGAACGAACATAACCAATGTGAAACAAACGAAAATAAGCCATACATAAAAAAATAAAATAACGCGCAAAATGCTGTACTCGAGCGAATTAAACTGAACCTCAGCCAAACGTACTGGGCTGGCTGAAGCGAAATGAACCAAAATTTGAGTGATGTAAACTCAATATAAACCAAGGCTAAAATAACATAAAATTATACAAAAATCCCTAAACAATTCAGATATTTAAAAAGTTGAAACTAACAAAATCAGCCAAATTAACAAGGTACCTAACAAATGGTTCAAAACAAAATATGTATATGTATGAGCTCAATGAACCTATGCACTTGTTATATGTACTAGCACATCTATATATAATTGCTCATACACAATATTATATATCAATATATAACATACCCACGCACATTGTGTAGTCCAACGCAAATAGTATCATTTCATTCCAGGTCACGACTGTCATTTTGTTTTCTTCTATGCATTAACAACTCAAATTTATTAGCAGGTAAATGTATCTCCATATATTTACTTCATGTACATTTTATTTGTATGTACTCCGTACACTTGAAACCATCAGAATAAGTTTTCATATATTTTTGACCGCAAGCTAACTCTCATTTGTTCTGTCATCGAGATTACATGGTACTATCATGGAATAATAATCCATACGAAAATTCATTATTAATTATAACCACTACAAGCGATATATTAGGATTCAGATATTAGGAAAATATAAAATATAGAATATTAGTTTCATCATGTATTTGTAATAGCTTAGAGAAAGACTCCAGTCAAAAGTAGTAAAACTCATCTCACAGACATACTATTGAAAAAGGTATAAGTTACAATATCACAGATGTTGAAGATAAATACTAGCCTAAGGTTTCAAGGACTCAAACCTTTCAGTAAGACAAAGTAATGTCTAGACGATTTAATGAACTGCTTTCATAAAGTAAACATGTCATCACCTCCATTAAAATATATTGCGCAAACACTTTAAATTAGGGTCATTAAGCCATCTATTGTAACACCATAGTCAACACAATTAGTGCCAGTTGAAATAGGATTACTAGGATTAAGTACTCTCCCTGTCTGGTCATTTCATTTGTTGGACACACCCCATACCGCATATTCTGTATTTCATTGGTTAGTATAGGGAACACCCATTTTGTATCATTCAACGAATCTTTTTATCGTTTCAATTTTAGATAAATAGTGACCAACTCCATTTGCTTGTCAGTAGGGTTTAGACTCCCAATACAGGTCATCTCTAACCCTCAGCCCAGAGGGTTGTACCGACTCTCTGTGGCCACCCCATGTTATTTTTGTTCTTGTTAATAAAACTGTAATTAGCTTCTTGTGACTTCGGACTCTTTGCTGAGCTAATTCCCCAAAGCAGACCAGCACGTCAGCTAGATAAGGGGTTTCACCGGAACCATCACTTGGACCCCAGACCCTTATCATAATAGTACTATGCTTTGCTGGTTTTCCAAAACGTAAGCCACAAAGTCGCTAGAAGTGTGCTTGTACGTCAAATGGGAACACTAATATATTTGCTTAGATCACACGAGGTATGAATGGTGAAAGCTGATTGTTAAGAAATCAAGAATTAAGACACAACACATTCTCTATCAGAACGATGCAAATGATCAAATACAGTGAGGAGAAGTATTATTTCCCGAGATTTTACATGTACATTTGGACGTTAAAACAGGTTGGACAATTAAGGGGTGAACGTTTATAGATTGGGTGGTGGATATCCTTTCTCATACAGTCTGATCTGTTAGGCTCCACAGGATAACTTCTGGATGTTTGCAAATAATGTGAACAAATCCTAAATATATGCAATCTCATTTGTATGATAACTGAGTTATCGCCAGTGTGTGTTTATACATCACCATCAAATACTTGGAGTTATACTAGCATTCACGTTAGGCACGTGCACAAGTGCTGACAAAGTTACTGTTTCATTTACCGGAGCTGTGCCTTCTCCATCCTTTGTCCCACACCTGGCTGTTCCTCTATTTGCACTCCTCCCTCGTAACAAAAAGTGGACGTGTAAATACTTTAATGATGATTTGTTAAACAGCTTTTCTTATTTTTAGGACATAAATTCTGCAAAAAAACTCACAGAGTTGGTCTGATGTTTTGATTATGATCACCGTTTTATTGAGCATTATATGTTTATTAGTTTTCGAGTTAGATTGCAGTTCATCGGTCCGATTTTGATGCAAAAGAACAATAGTAAACAATTACTTGATGATCATGCATTATCGTGTTTGTTATCGATGCATAAACCAATATGGTATGCTCCCGGAATATACAAATAAAGGGTCTTTATCCTCGCCAAAGACGTTCAGTACCAATGTACGTTATACATGAATCCATATCACACCCAGGTCAAAATCCTAGTGAAAGTTCTATTCACTTAAAATACTTACCTACAGATGAGTATCCAACATTGTCTACTTCATTTATTGGGCTCCATCACTAGAAGGAAGTAACACTTTGAGCTCATATTCATTCACAGTTGGGTGTTGTGCGAATGTGTCTAAAAACCTTCAGTTTGAATACGTTGAATAAGTTATGTACGTGTATTAAACTAAGCAAAGAGACTGATACATTTTAAACATCACCTTTCTCCCGGAGACGATTTTGTGAAATAATGGAAAGGCATATATTCATGTTTGTTCTTGGTTAATTCAGTTTAACAAAACAGGTGTATTTTCCGCCAAACATAGTGCATTTCAAAACTTCACACTATCCCTCCATAATATTTAATTGTCAGTCTCTCAACAGCACGATGAAATTATCAATTAACAATGATTCATTTATATGATAAATACATTTGTCGCATATGTGCCAGTGTGATGATGAATTGTACCTTTCCATACATACATATCTATATTCTTGTCTGAGAAAACAGGCATATAGTAGCCCTTCAACCAGTAGGATGAGAAGAGCAGTTCCGATCACAGATTCAGCTATAAACAAAAAACCATGCGTGTGAGCACTCAGAACACAAGAGAACTGGAACATAACATTAAGTAACCAATACAATGGTACAGAAATTAACATTGCGAGGGTAGCCACTAAAGATGCATTTGTCTTACTGTGTTTTCTCACATACATGTACACGTGGAAATCAGTGGCCTGAAAAGTTGTTGTCACAAATTGTGTTGAATGTGTATGAACATGCATGTTCTGAAGCATAAACATATCAGGTACCTGAGATGGGTCCTTGCTTCCAGGAAGACAAATGCTGTGGTTGATGCCTCGTACTTTGCATTCCGAGCATGCAGCCGGAAGGTGTATGTCTCTCCAGGTGCCAAACTGTTCACTTCCAACACAAACATGTTACCAGTATCTCCGAAGTAACCAAATACATTCCATGTGGAAGAGCCAAATTTTCGGTATTCCATTACAAACTCCTGGGGGTAGCCGCCATCGAACCCAGGCGTCCATGTCAACCACACAGACGATGTGTCTCGTTGTCAATGACTTTGAATCGTGTTGGTTCATCAGGTGATCCTAACTCAGTTAAACAAAGACTGTCATCACAGATAAACAGTTGATTTGCATAAGGGCAGTGCGACTCAAACTGCACACTTCATTTAAGACATGTTATTTCGAGATCAACAGTGTAAGCGTTAGTTGATTTCACACTGAGCATAAATGAGATATGACATGGAGCATATGTGTGGAAAATGAGAATCATGGCGGAAAGAATAATGAACGAATGTGTGAAAGTCAATAGATAAAAGCAATAGGGCATTTGTTCATATGATTTCTCTAAAAATCTGAAATCAATAGATAGCTGTTTTCAGGTTTGCTTCTATCTGCAAATGGAACAGAATCGAATATGGAGAACGTCATTGCATAGACATGATCGAAATTTGTACCTCGACCATTTGTGTCGCTGTTCCTAAACTCACTATTTACTCACCTTCCTAAAGGGTTAGTTTTTTCACACTCTTAGTTTGGGAATATTCAACTTAAAGGAAGTATTCGAGAGACACTTGACTAGCTTAGCACATACTAATGTAACAATGCCAGTCTTTCATTAGACAAGCCGGGGAATGGGAAATCAGAGAATAAACACGGGATTCTTTTGTAATATAATCAAAACGAAAACACACAAAAAAATAGTTACAAAAACAATCTAGTCTATTGCATTCAATTTACATATAGATTCTCGGCATGCACCTTCAAATCCACTACGATTTTGTCAGGCATATGAGTCATACTACATCTTGCTTTTTTATATCAACGGGGTTGAAGGTGATGTCGGGTGCATCTAGGGAATACAACAGTTAAACATAATCATGGCACGAATTGTCATATAATTCAAGCTGTGGTTAGATGTAGAAAATAGTTACGGTCCAAAGGATTTCCTTACTTGTTAGCATTATCTGCTAATAACCAGCAGCTGTCAAGATTTATGTCACATCTATGCTGCTCTAGCTAATGTGACATACACGACCGACACTTTATGTACACAACGGCCTTGAGAGAACATCCGTACTGTAGACCACTATGTGGTGTTACCTAAAGAACTCGAAGTAAACAGCGGCCCTGAGAGTAGAATAGAAGCGAGCAAACGCTTTACACATCCATACCAAATCTCTGCTAAAGGCAAAGTCGACTGTACAGTCATGGACATTTGTTTTACACCTGCAGAATGAAGTTTGTAAACAAATCGAGTCTAGACCAGAGAGTCCAAAGATTGTCGCCATGCGATATGAAATAGTCAAGATACTAGGTGTACGCGAAAAGGTGAGAGTATCCTGCCCCACCGGTAGCACCATCATAAACATATCCAAAGTCTAGTCAATTGTTCACCTGAAAAAAGTAGAAATGAAAAGTTGTCGTTTATTAAATATCTCGTTAATCTTAATATTATGAAGTATTGTATTTAGTCCATGCAATACGGATTCATTTATCTGAGGAGTACACATACCAAGCACTATACAATAATTAATATCAGACATAAATACAAATATATTTCAAAAGCAATTAATACAAAAACTATTCGTTACACGCTACAAGCTATAGAAGTTCAACAAGTTTCAGAAAACATTATTTCTATAGTGCCTTTAAAATGCAATTATGTTTGTTTTGCTAGTTAAAAAAAAATATAAAATAAATAAACCAAAAAAACCCAAATAAAAACACAAACAAACATTCATTAGAGGTAATCAAAATATTTCAGGCAAAGTTGAAAACAGAAATGAGCAAAAGCTGTTATATTTTCTATACGTCAGGTCTGCACAATCATTCACACGATTCATTCTTTGAAAGCACATTCTCACCAAACATACTCCCTAGGCCTTATGTTTATGTTATCAATTTCAATAGTTGCGGAATTCTGTTAAACAATACACACGTATATACATGGAGATACCATATTGGAGCAGGACCGGACAATATGTTATTCAACTTACACTTGACATCCCCGAGTGACAGAGTCTTGGTGACCACCACTGCTGTCCTGGTGTTTCTCACGCTATATCTGACATCTGGCTTGCTCCTGACAGGACGGAATGTCCGAGTCTGTGACCACGTGGTACTCGGTGATCCTGTCACAGATCCTGTACTTCCTCCTGTAATGTCCGACCCGTCACTGTAGTCCCAGGTGAAGGTCACTCCGGGAGACACGGAGGTCAAGGCCTCACATGTCAAGGTCAGGTCACGGTCCTCCGCTACCACAGTGTTTGCTGGTTTTGTTACTCTCACCTGGTCTGTTTCTGGTCCGTCTGGTTACAAGTAAACAGAATTATCAGTAAAGTTACTAACTGGGTATCTCTTGGTCTCAGGGTTTCTGAAGGAGCAGAATCAGGTGGTCAGGCTCGCCGACTCATTTTACACGTCATCGTATCCCAGTTACGTTGATCGATGCTCATACTGTTTATCACTGGATTGTCTGGTGAAGACTCGATTATTTACAGACCGCTGCCATATAACTGCAAGACTGCCGAATGAGGTGCAAAGATCAGCCGGACACTTTCCATTCAACATGCGTAAATGACAAGGGTGCTCTTTTTGTCGATCAATATTTATATGTATTAAAATATAGTCAAGATATACCCTTTAAAGTTGCCTGATGCAACCTATATAAGATAACCATTACTCAGTAAACTCAGACTCTAGTACAGATCCAATACACCAATACAATACTCAGTCAGTCTGTGTCGACGTACACCTAACCTCAAGTTTCGCACTGTTACACTGTTACTACTTACACCAAATCTCAATTGTGGCCCTGTTAGATTTTGTCTACTTACACCAAACCTCCAGTGAGGCTCTGTTAGACTGTGCCACTTACACCAAACCTCCTGTGTGGCTCTGTTAGACAGAGTCTACGTCCACCAAACCTCCAGTGTGGCTCTGTTAGATTGTGTCTTCTTCCACCAAACCTCCACTGTGGCTCTGCTGAATTGTGCCTACTTACATGAAACCTCCAGTGTGGCCCTGTTAGACTGTGTCTACATACCCCAAACCTCAAATGTGGCTCTGTTAGATTGTGTCTACTTACACCAAACCTCAAGTGTGGCTCTGTTAGACTGTATGTACTTAAACCAAACCCCCAGTGTAACCCTGTTCGACTGTGTCTACTTACACGAAACCTCCAGTATGACCCTGTTAGATCGTGTCTACTTACACCAAACCTCCAGTATGGCTATGTTACGCAGTGTCTACTTACACCAATTCTCCAGTGTGGTCCTGTTAGACTGTGTCTATTTACACCAAACCACCAGTGTGGCTATGTTACGCAGTGTCTACTTACACCAATTCTCCAGTGTGGTCCTGTTAGACTGTGTCTACTTACACCAATTCTCCAGTGTGGTCCTGTTAGACTGTGTCTACTTACACCAAACCTCCAGTGTGGCTATGTTACGCAGTGTCTACTTACACCAATTCTCCAGTGTGGCCCTGTTAGACTGTGTCTACTTACACCAAACCTCCAGTGTGGCTATGTTACGCAGGGTCTACTTACATCAATTCTCCAGTGTGGCTCTGTTAGACTGTGTCTACTTACACCAAACCACCAGTGTGGTCCTGTAACACAGTGTCTACTTACACCAAACCTCCAGTGTAGCTCTTTTAGAGTGTGTCTACTTACACCAAACCTCCAGTGTAGCTCTTTTAGACTGTGTCTACTTCCACCAAACCACCAGTGTGGTCCTGTAACACAGTGTCTACTTACACCAAACCTCCAGTGTAGCTCTTTTAGAGTGTGTCTACTTACACCAAACCTCCAGTGTAGCTCTTTTAGACTGTGTCTACTTCCACCAAACCCCCAGTGTAACCATGTTAGACTGTGTGTACATGCACTAAACCTCCCGTGCGAAGCTGTTGAACGGTGTCAACTTACACCAAACATCCAGGGGAATCCTGTTTGACTGTCACTTCCCACACCAAACCTCCAGTGTATCTCTGTTACATTGTGTCTACTCATACCAAACCTCAACTGTGGCCCTGTTAGAATGTCTACATACACCAAACCCCCAGTGTGGCCCTGTTAGACTGTGTCTACTTACACCAAACCTCAAGTGTGGCCCTGTTAGATTTTGTCTACTTACACCAAACCTCCAGTGAGGCTCTGTTAGACTGTGCCACTTACACCAAACCTCCTGTGTGGCTCTGTTAGACAGAGTCTACTTGCACCAAACCTCCAGTGTGGTTCTGTAAGACTGTGTCTACTTCCACCAAACCTCCAGTGTGGCTCTTTTAGACTGTGTCTACTTACACCAAACCTCCAGTATCACCCTGTTAGACCGTGTCTACTAACACCAAACCTCCTGTGTGGCTCTGTTAGACTGTGTCTACTTCCACCAAATCTCCAGTGTGGCTCTGTTAGACTGTGTCTACTTACACAAATTCTGCAGTGTGGTCCTGTAAGACTGTGTCTACTAACACCAAACCTCCAGTGTGGTCCTGTTACACAGTGTCTACTTACACCAAACCTTTAGTGTAGCTCTTTTAGACTGTGTCTACTTCCACCAAACCCCCAGTGTAACCATGTTAGACAGTGTGTACATACACCATACCTCCCGTGTGAAGCTGTTGAACGGTGTCAACTTACACCAAACATCCAGGGGAATCCTGTTTGACTGTCACTTCCTACACCAAACCTCCAATGTATCTCTGTTACATTGTGTCTACTTACACCAAACCTCCAGAGTGGCCCTGCTAGTCTGTGTCCACTTACACCGACCCTCCAGTGTGCCCCTGTTAGAATGTCTACATACACCAAACCCCCAGTGTGGCCCTGTTAGACTGTGTCTACTTACACCAAACCTCCAGTGTGGCTATGTTAGATTGTGTCTACATACCCCAAACCTCAAATGTGGCTCTGTTAGACTGTGTCTACTAACACCAAACCTCCAGTGTGGCTCTGTTAGACTGTATGTACTTATACCAAACCTCCAGTGTAGCTGTGTTAGACTGTGTCTACTTCCACCAAACCTCCACTGTGGCTCTGCTGAATTCTGCCTACTTACATGAAATCTCCAGTGTGACCCTGTTAGACTGTGTCTACTTCCACCAAACCCCCAGTGTGGCTCTGTTAGACTGTGTCTACTTACACCAAACCTCCAGTGTGGCTATGTTAGACTGTGTCTACTTACACCAAAGCTCCACTGTGGCTCTGTTAGACTGTGTCTACTTACACCAATTCTCCAGTGTGGTCCTGTTAGACTGTGTCTACTTACACCAAACCTCCAGTGTGGCTCTGTTAGACTGTGTCTACTTCCACCAATTCTCCAGTGTGGTTCTGTTAGACTGTGTCTACTTACACCAAACCTCCAGTGTGGCTCTGTTAGACTGTGTCTACTTACACCAAACCTCCAGTGTGGCTCTGTTAGACTGTGTCTACTTACACCAAACCTCCAGTGTGGCTATGTTAGATTGTGTCTACATACCCCAAACCTCAAATGTGGCTCTGTTAGACTGTGTCTACTTACACCAAACCTCCAGTGTGGCTCTGTTAGACTGTATGTACTTATACCAAACCTCCAGTGTAGCTGTGTTAGACTGTGTCTACTTCCACCAAACCTCCACTGTGGCTCTGCTGAATTCTGCCTACTTACATGAAATCTCCAGTGTGACCCTGTTAGACTGTGTCTACTTCCACCAAACCTACAGTGCGGATCTGTTAGACTGTGTCTACTTACACCAAACCCCCAGTGTGGCCCTGTTAGATCGTGTCTACTTACACCATACCCCCAGTGTGACTCTGTTAGACTGTTTCAACTTACACCAAACCTCCAGTGTGGCTCTGTTAGACTGTGTCTACTTCCACCAAATCTCCAGTGTGGCTCTGTTAGACTGTGTCTACTTACACCAAACCTCCAGTGTGGCTCTGTTAGACTGTGTCTACTTACACCAAACCTCCAGTGTGGCTCTGTTAGACTGTGTCTACTTACACCAAACCTCCAGTGTGGCTCTGTTAGACTGTGTCTACTTACACCAAACCTCCAGTGTGGCTCTGTTAGACTGTGTCTACTTCCACCAATTCTCCAGTGTGGTCCTGTTACACTGTGTCTACTTACACCAAACCTCCAGTGTGGCTCTGTTAGACTGTGTCTACTTCCACCAAATCTCCAGTGTGGCTCTGTTAGACTGTGTCTACTTACACCAAACCTCCAGTGTGGCTCTGTTAGACTGTGTCTACTTACACCAAACCTCCAGTGTGGCTCTGTTAGACTGTGTCTACTTACACCAAACCTCCAGTGTGGCTCTGTTAGACTGTGTCTACTTACACCAAACCTCCAGTGTGGCTCTGTTAGACTGCGTCTACTTACACCAATTCTCCAGTGTGGTCCTGTTAGACTGTGTCTACTTACACCAAACCTCCAGTGTGGCTCTGTTAGACTGTGTCTACTTACACCAAACCTCCAGTGTGGCTCTGTTAGACTGTGTCTACTTACACCAAACCTCCAGTGTGGTTCTGTTAGACTGTGTCTACTTACACCAAACCTCCAGTGTGGCTCTGTTAGACTGTGTCTACTTACACCAAACCTCCAGTGTGGCTCTGTTAGACTGTGTCTACTTACACCAAACCTCCAGTGTGGCTCTGTTAGACTGTGTCTACTTCCACCAATTCTCCAGTGTGGCTCTGTTAGACTATGTCTACTTACACCAAACCTCCAGTGTGGTTCTGTTAGACTGTGTCTACTTACACCAAACCTCCAGTGTGGCTCTGTTAGACTGTGTCTACTTACACCAAACCTCCAGTGTGGCTCTGTTAGACTGTGTCTACTTACACCAAATCTCCAGTGTGGCTCTGTTAGACTGTGTCTACTTACACCAAACCTCCAGTGTGGCTCTGTTAGACTGTGTCTACTTCCACCAATTCTCCAGTGTGGTCCTGTTACACTGTGTCTACTTACACCAAACCTCCAGTGTGGCTCTGTTAGACTGTGTCTACTTACACCAAACCTCCAGTGTGGCTATGTTAGACTGTGTCTACTTACACCAAAGCTCCACTGTGGCTCTGTTAGACTGTGTCTACTTACACCAATTCTCCAGTGTGGTCCTGTTAGACTGTGTCTACTTACACCAAACCTCCAGTGTGGCTCTGTTAGACTGTGTCTACTTACACCAAATCTCCATTGTGGCTCTGTTAGACTGTGTCTACTTACACCAAACCTCCAGTGTGGCTCTGTTAGACTGTGTCTACTTCCACCAATTCTCCAGTGTGGTCCTGTTACACTGTGTCTACTTACACCAAACCTCCAGTGTGGCTCTGTTAGACTGTGTCTACATACACCAAACCTCCAGTGTGGCTATGTTAGACTGTGTCTACTTACACCAAAGCTCCACTGTGGCTCTGTTAGACTGTGTCTACTTACACCAAACCTCCAGTGTGGCTCTGTTAGACTGTGTCTACTTACACCAAACCTCCAGTGTGGCTATGTTAGATTGTGTCTACATACCCCAAACCTCAAATGTGGCTCTGTTAGACTGTGTCTACTTACACCAAACCTCCAGTGTGGCTCTGTTAGACTGTATGTACTTATACCAAACCTCCAGTGTAGCTGTGTTAGACTGTGTCTACTTCCACCAAACCTCCACTGTGGCTCTGCTGAATTCTGCCTACTTACATGAAATCTCCAGTGTGACCCTGTTAGACTGTGTCTACTTCCACCAAACCTACAGTGCGGATCTGTTAGACTGTGTCTACTTACACCAAACCCCCAGTGTGGCCCTGTTAGATCGTGTCTACTTACACCATACCCCCAGTGTGACTCTGTTAGACTGTTTCAACTTACACCAAACCTCCAGTGTGGCTCTGTTAGACTGTGTCTACTTCCACCAAATCTCCAGTGTGGCTCTGTTAGACTGTGTCTACTTACACCAAACCTCCAGTGTGGCTCTGTTAGACTGTGTCTACTTACACCAAACCTCCAGTGTGGCTCTGTTAGACTGTGTCTACTTACACCAAACCTCCAGTGTGGCTCTGTTAGACTGTGTCTACTTACACCAAACCTCCAGTGTGGCTCTGTTAGACTGTGTCTACTTCCACCACCTCCAGTGTGGTCCTGTTACACTGTGTCTACTTACACCAAACCTCCAGTGTGGCTCTGTTAGACTGTGTCTACTTCCACCAAATCTCCAGTGTGGCTCTGTTAGACTGTGTCTACTTACACCAAACCTCCAGTGTGGCTCTGTTAGACTGTGTCTACTTACACCAAACCTCCAGTGTGGCTCTGTTAGACTGTGTCTACTTACACCAAACCTCCAGTGTGGCTCTGTTAGACTGTGTCTACTTACACCAAACCTCCAGTGTGGCTCTGTTAGACTGCGTCTACTTACACCAATTCTCCAGTGTGGTCCTGTTAGACTGTGTCTACTTACACCAAACCTCCAGTGTGGCTCTGTTAGACTGTGTCTACTTCCACCAATTCTCCAGTGTGGCTCTGTTAGACTGTGTCTACTTACACCAAACCTCCAGTGTGGTTCTGTTAGACTGTGTCTACTTACACCAAACCTCCAGTGTGGCTCTGTTAGACTGTGTCTACTTACACCAAACCTCCAGTGTGGCTCTGTTAGACTGTGTCTACTTACACCAAACCTCCAGTGTGGCTCTGTTAGACTGTGTCTACTTCCACCAATTCTCCAGTGTGGCTCTGTTAGACTATGTCTACTTACACCAAACCTCCAGTGTGGTTCTGTTAGACTGTGTCTACTTACACCAAACCTCCAGTGTGGCTCTGTTAGACTGTGTCTACTTACACCAAACCTCCAGTGTGGCTCTGTTAGACTGTGTCTACTTACACCAAATCTCCAGTGTGGCTCTGTTAGACTGTGTCTACTTACACCAAACCTCCAGTGTGGCTCTGTTAGACTGTGTCTACTTCCACCAAACCTCCAGTGTGGTCCTGTTACACTGTGTCTACTTACACCAAACCTCCAGTGTGGCTCTGTTAGACTGTGTCTACTTACACCAAACCTCCAGTGTGGCTATGTTAGACTGTGTCTACTTACACCAAAGCTCCACTGTGGCTCTGTTAGACTGTGTCTACTTACACCAAACCTCCAGTGTGGTCCTGTTAGACTGTGTCTACTTACACCAAACCTCCAGTGTGGCTCTGTTAGACTGTGTCTACTTACACCAAATCTCCATTGTGGCTCTGTTAGACTGTGTCTACTTACACCAAACCTCCAGTGTGGCTCTGTTAGACTGTGTCTACTTCCACCAATTCTCCAGTGTGGTCCTGTTACACTGTGTCTACTTACACCAAACCTCCAGTGTGGCTCTGTTAGACTGTGTCTACATACACCAAACCTCCAGTGTGGCTATGTTAGACTGTGTCTACTTACACCAAAGCTCCACTGTGGCTCTGTTAGACTGTGTCTACTTACACCAAACCTCCAGTGTGGTTCTGTTAGACTGTGTCTACTTACACCAAACCTCCAGTGTGGCTCTGTTAGACTGTGTCTACTTACACCAAACCTCCAGTGTGGCTCTGTTAGACTGTGTCTAGTTACACCAAACCTCCAGTGTGGCTCTGTTAGACTGTGTCTACTTCCACCAATTCTCCAGTGTGGTCCTGTTAGACTGTGTCTACTTACACCAAACCTCCAGTGTGGCTCTGTTAGACTGTGTCTACTTACACCATACCCCCAGTGTGACTCTGTTACACTGTGTCTACTTACACCAAACCTACAGTGTGGCTCTGTTAGACTGTGTCTACTTACACCAAACCCACAGTGTGGCCCTGTTAGACTGTTTCAACTTACACCAAACCTACAGTGTGGCTCTGTTAGACTGTGTCTACTTACACCATACCCCCAGTGTGGCTCTGTTACACTGTGTCTACTTACACCAAACCTACAGTGTGGCTCTGTTAGACTGTGTCTACTTACACCATACCCCCAGTGTGACTCTGTTAGACTGTTTCAACTTACACCAAACCTCCAGTGTGGCTCTGTTAGACTGTGTCTACTTCCACCAAATCTCCAGTGTGGCTCTGTTAGACTGTGTCTACTTACACCAAACCTCCAGTGTGGCTCTGTTAGACTGTGTCTACTTACACCAAACCTCCAGTGTGGCTCTGTTAGACTGTGTCTACTTACACCAAACCTCCAGTGTGGCTCTGTTAGACTGTGTCTACTTACACCAATTCTCCAGTGTGGTCCTGTTACACTGTGTCTACTTACACCATACCCCCAGTGTGACTCTGTTAGACTGTGTCTACTTACACCAAACCTCCAGTGTGGCTCTGTTAGACTGTGTCTACTTACACCAAACCCCCAGTGTGGCCCTGTTAGACTGAGTCTACTTACACCAAACCTCCAGTGTGGCTCTGTTAGACTGCGGGGATGTCTGACCGTTGATGTTTTCAGCCTGACAACGAATGCGCCCCCCACCCCCACCCCCACCCCACCCCCACCCCTGGTCACTCCTACTGACAGTGAATGTGACGGAGCTTGTTGTTTTCACCAGGACACCAGATGTCGTCTCTGTGCTAACTGTCGGTGTCGTTCCTGATGGCAAGGTCGCCCAGGTCACAGTAGAAGTGGGAAAACTGGCTGAGGTTACGCAGGTCAAGGTCAGGGATTGACCTGCCATTAGTGCTATCTTCTCATTATCAGAACTGATGTTTGTCAGTGTCACCGAGGTAACTGGGACTGCAACAGCAAATATAACTGTTATAACAATTTTAGTTAAAGCAGTTTTAGAGGTAGTATGTTTTGCATCACTTTAATATAATAAATAGAAACATTTCTTCCACCTTAAATGCATTGTAAACAAAAGCACACATGCCTTATGATATCGTTATTTAAATCTTGACATGAATATAATTGAGAAACATATACATCGTCATACATCCTAGCGTTAACATAACAATTTCTATTGTATTACCTACAGATACCCCATAAATATTTAGTAACACATATCTCAACACGTTAAAGTCCATGTAATTATAAAAAATCAGTGAAATAGTTGTAGGTTTAATTGCCAAGTGACCGCTCACCAGGAAACTGTATGGGGTTGGATGTGACAGATTTGTATACGTGGGGGGATCGAAGGAGTCATGTTCCACACTGACAGTGAGAGACACCTGCCTGTTGTAGAGACTGACTGTGTTCCCTGGTAGAGACAGAGTGTTGGTTGTCTGGACCTGACCTGATGGACATGATCCCTGGGTTGAAGATGTACTGCTGGGAGGGACGCCACTCACACCCTGTAAACACAAAACAGTAGTTAGATAGACTGACTGTGTTCCCTGGTAGAGACAGGGTGTTGGTTGTCTTTTCCTGACCTGATGGACATGATCCCTGGGTGGAAGATGTACTGCTGGGAGGGATGCCACTCACACTTTGTTAACACAAAACAGTAGTTAGATAGACTGACTGTGTTCCCTGGTAGAGACAGGGTGTTGGTTGTCTGGACCACACCTGATGGACATGATCCCTGGGTGGAAGATGTACTGCTGGGAGGGATGCCACTCACACCTTGTAAACACAAAACAGTAGTTAGATAGACAGACTGTGTTCCCTGGTAGAGACAGGGTGTTGGTTGTCTGGACCTGATGGACATGATCTCTGGGTGGAAGATGTACTGCTGGGTGGGACGCCACTCACACCCTGTAAACACATAGTTAGTTAGATAGACTGACTGTGTTCCCTGGTAGAGACAGAGAGATGGCTGTCTAGACCTGACCTGATGGACATGATCCCTGGGTGGAACATGTACTGCTGGGAGGGATGCCACTCACACCCTGTAAACACAAAACAGTAGTTAGATAGACTGACTGTGTTCCCTGGTAGAGACAGAGTGTTGGTTGTCTGGACCACACCTGATGGACATGATCCTTGGGTGGAAGATGTACTGCTGGGAGGGATGCTACTCACACCCTGTAAACACAAAACAGTAGTTAGATAGACTGACTGTGTTCCGTGGTAGAGACAGAGTGTTGGTTGTCTGGACATGACCTGATGGACATGATCCCTGGGTGGAACATGTACTGCTGGGAGGGATGCCACTCACACCCTGTAAACACAAAACAGTAGTTAGATAGACTGACTGTGTTCCCTGGTAGAGACAGAGTGTTGGTTGTCTGGACCACACCTGATGGACATGATCCCTGGGTGGAACATGTACTGCTGGGAGGGATGCCACTCACACCCTGTAAACACAAAACAGTAGTTAGATAGACTGACTGTGTTCCCTGGTAGAGACAGAGTGTTGGTTGTCTGGACCACACCTGATAGACATGATCCTTGGGTGGAAGATGTACTGCTGGGAGGGATGCTACTCACACCCTGTAAACACAAAACAGTAGTTAGATAGACTGACTGTGTTCCCTGGTAGAGACAGAGCGTTGGTTGTCTTTTCCTGACCTGATGGACATGATCCATCGTTGTAACATATAATTACCAATCAAAGACTTGTATTAAACGTCTGATCTCCCATAGCCATCAATCATTAACTACTGTGATAACCGCTGCCAACTTCAGGCATACAACATTATAAGAATTATTATAATAATGTAAGGAATTACAATACTTATAGCCCTATGTACGGCTATACATGTTTCATCCTAAAATGCACTGTTGTTTCTAGTTTATCTGAAATGAACAAAATAGGCAATCTTTTATCCAGAGTTCTCAAGACGCATTCAGTGAAACACATGTTATTCAGTAATTGGATACAAGTGGCACTTTCGGTTACAATTCATGTCCTCAGAACAGTTTATAATCGCGTTTTTCAATGAACTCAAATACTTTCAGGTACATTCTTGCAGACACTTGGAACAATGTTTTAGTTCTATACCCCCAGCAATTTGAAAGTCTGAAACACAAAAATCTGATTCAAAGGCTTGCAGTTTTTAGAGGTTGAGTGTTCTGTGTTCGGAGGATTGTCTATCACAAAATGCTAGTTATCTTGGTTCTCAGCAGGAAAAGAGATGTGCAAAGGTTGAAGGTCTTCAGTAACCTTTCAGTAAGATGTTTCAAACAAGATACGCATAAAATATTTTTATATTTCTTTCAACTTTGGAGATTTGGTAGTTTATGTTTTTTTCCCAACGGAAAGATAAACAGATCTTCAGCATATACATTGATGCCAATGATGATATTGATGATGTCAACTACAACAATGAAATACGTTTATTCATGACATGATATCACGTCAGTGAAATACATAATATCGTATCTGTTATGATAAATAACGAACCGTGACTAATTTTTCAGAGCTTTTGCCGTAATAATTGAAAAGCGATAAACCCATTGTGTTTACTGTGCACATTCGATGCAGAACTACAGTGGAGTAGATATCTCAACTTTTAAAACCACGGGTTTGTGTGCTACAGAGTAAAACAAAAGGCATTTACTCTAGGCTTGCTCTAAGACTGCATCAGAATTATCATTGAAACATGCATACACACGACGATCTATTACATACAGTTCCTACCTGTTGGTATCTCCATGTGACGACGGCAGCAGGGGAAGTACACGGAGTGGTCACAGTGACGGAGATGGTGTTCTGTGGGGTCACGGACGGCGGAAGAGATATCAGTTGTGGAGAGAAGGTCACAGAGCCCCAGTCCAGGACAACTAGTAAAAAGGAATGACAAAATTATACGTCTTGTGTAAATCTATAACCGACTTGAGAGTTCGCAGGGACCAGTGAGTCAAGATATAGACTCTTGATCACATTGCAAGGCTGCATCTGGTAATGCAGGTACATTTCTGCTATAATCTGACCAGTATGTATTTATGTAATTCATGAAAAAACTGAAACGTATATATTCAAACATAAATCATTTTTTGCAAACTGTTTCTCAACACCGTCTGTCATTACTGTTTTTACGTGATCATTTCTTACTATTTTCATAGCTATTTTCAATTTACACTAAACGGGAATTGTCCAGGCATGGTATTCGTTTGACGTCCTACATTTGACCAGCTATATCATGCCGTGTGTCTGTTTGATCTGGGAGGGAAGCCCGCCATGACTAAGCGTCGACGTGGACATGAAACATTCAATATTTATTAAGGGAAAGGAAATACATGTATTGTCATATAGAGTATTTGTAGAGCACATAGAAGTGATACACATAAAGACAAGAATGTTATGGATGTCAGCTTCTTTACTTTGATGGAAGTTTCGGAGTATATTTTTATTCCTTCATCAGGTGAAATATTGTCAATAAACGTTGTGCATTACTAGAATCTTTGGGGTATCACATACCGAGCTGTTGGGTTACGTGATTTGAACAAACAAGAAACCTTCGCTGTACAAGTTTATAAATAAACCCGTTCGATGTCACATTATTTACTTGATGTCTTATGCAGAAAACTCCAGTTGTACTAGGGACTAGCATAAACATATTGATCATTCAGTTTGTATGTATTCCACATAGGTTTACAGCTGTTGTAACAGGGCGTCATATTGAACATATTTGGCATCTTCATAAAAGCTATACACACTTGTTTATGATATTGTCTGGATCATACAAGGGAAATGTTTATGATTGTGGAAAGGGTATATAATCGAATGCTTACAATTTTACTGTGTATTCTGCTAAGACAGTACACAGCGTTAACCAATTTGCATTCTTTCCATTGCCCTTATTCCTCAAATAAACATATTGTTCTTCAAACAATTACCTTGAGTTGTGTCATTGTTAGTTGTCAGTGCACTTTCATACTGAGTCAAAATTCATATTGCATCCATAATATGTCGCCCTTTGCTTTGACATGTTTAAATAAATAGGAATTAAATCAAATGGGATGGAGAAGGACAGGGTCTTTGACAATCTGAACATTCATTGTGCAAAATGATAATGTTTGCGATATGTAAGCAAACTAAACATTTTCTTCCACATTAATCACAAAACTAAGTATTGCATTGCATTCCCCATAGGTGAAAATATTCAATGAAGCAATTTTCAACTTGATTAATAAAAATGATATGTCAGTTTTCAGGTTTTAGTTTAGCGTTGCCGGCCGTCATAGATTTCTCTATTTTGGGGCATTGTAGGACATTTTTGAGCTTGGCATACAGCATATTTGGATTCAGCACCCATCAATACCCCTAAAAAGCTTGTACGCCAAATATTAACACGATTTGCCTTCAGCGCCTTAAGTAAGCACTTTTCCCTCAAAGCCCCCTACACTATTACCGAAGTCACACTTCTTTGATGTGCATTCGAGATATAGGATGCAAATATTGATAGACACCATAAACACCTGGGCATGCTCACGATAGGCATGAGATACACCCGGGATACATGATACATGTTCAGTATATAAAGTGTCAGTGATAAACTGCTCCCATTGGTACTTACAAATATTTCGCTGCACTCGAAATACGATATTATTCAATGTTCAGTTTGGTAGAGATCAACAGCCCATAGTCATTCTAACCTGTATTTGGCTTAACAACAGGTAATGTTGCACAAATAGACGCTTGTCGTCATTAGTAGTTATATCTGGAATACGTGACAAACAACATCAGTTAATTCACTTATTTACTTGAGCCAATCACCATGGTGTAACCAATCACAGGCTTGGAAATAGATCTCACACATATGTTTGATACCAGTTTTCTCACACGGGTTTCTACCCGTGAAGGTCCGGGTTAGAATGAACCTTCAGTTACAGAAGTTGAACAGGCTGCGATAATTATCTTGATCAAGAAATTGCTTCGAATTTCATATTTGGCACCATATGAATGTATGTTTTCTGTTCAAAGTCCTACAAGGAATGCATCAACAGTTATTATAAGTGAACTAATGTTCCTTCTGGACATTACCTCGGAGGAAGTTAGATATCGTGTGTTATATTTCGGACACACATTGGAATTCACCTGGCTATGGCGTCGTTATAACAGTGTCAGTAGAAATACCAAAACAGCTCACAATATACAGGTGACACAGTAGATATACAATAAGCTGTCGTCAAGCTATCAGAATTGGGGTTCAGAGTTAGGCAGATGTAACCAGCCAAGTGGAAGCTCTACTTCCCAGTCGAGGTGTCAATAACATACATGTTGTGCTAACACCTGTTTCTTGGGTAAGAGTTCGGCAACAAAGTTTTACATTACTTCCTTGTAGGTCAGGCCGGTTGGTGATAAGAGACTCTTTGTGGACTTCTAACAGCGCGCATAATGTTTCCTCTAGGTTGTGAATGCGTGAATAACATATGCGTGAGAATAATCTGAACAAGCTATTCGTTTTTAATTAAAAGGGAGACAACTGATATGAGGCCGATACTATGTTTGTCAGCTGAGTAAATGTGATAGTACCTGTGTGGTAGGGTGAATGCAACTTGCTCAGATGACCCTCATATACCCTGATATGATATTTCAATGTGCACCAACATACCTTATCAGATTGAAATAAAGCTTACATGCAATACTAGGCTCGTGCAGGTCTCTCCCATACCACCACCCCCTCTCCTCCCTCCTCCCTCCTCCCTCTCTCTCTCTCTCTCTCTCTCTCTCTCTCTCTCTCTCTCTCTCCGGTGCACATACCTTTTCATGCTATATTTGGAACACACACAAGCTAACGAATACACATGCAGAAACAAACACACAGATACGAATACAAACATGAAAAGTGTACGCACGCAAGCTATCTGTGTTACATATGTATGTACAACTTCAGCCTTCTTGAGACTGTGTATAGATAGTCTACATATATTATTGAACAGAGCACACAGATTCATACAAAAACACCCACGATCTCTGTCACGTACTCTAGCATGATAGTTTCGAGTGAATTGGTTTGAATTGCCAAGGGAATTGTACTTATCATATAACGTAACATTCTGCATTCTCACCCAATTACGTAGGGTTTTTTTTATTTTGAAAGGTATGTACTCTCCTGAGTTGACAAGTAATTTATTTATTTTTTATGCATAATATTGTACCAAATGTAGTTTGTTGACCACATACATGCAGGGTATGGCGCATATTGTCTCCTTAGATCTTAAACAGTTACCCGGGTGCAAGTACGAGGCCGGTAGGAGCGTTACTCGAGTACTCGTCTAAAAAGAATTATCTCCCTTCTCATTCCACGTGTAGTTGTGTCAGTCGCAACATGGCAGAGCAATCACGCTCCAAAGTTTGGAGTTGTTTTTAAACTTGTGTTAATTATTCATATCAGTAGATCATGCAATTACTTATCAGTTTGAGAATACAACACAGTACATGACGTTAATTACGTAAGAGCGGGTCCATTGTTTATTTCTTATTCAATGAGCTTCGAATATAATGTACGCATACACATAACAACACATGGATAGTCAGGTGAGATCATTATTTTTCAAAAGACCACACTTCAATAGCTTAACATTCGTACCTGAAACAAAGACGCAGTCTCGAGGACGAGTACTCGAGTACTCGCGAGTAGTTGAAGGCGAGTACTCGAGTACATTCAATTACTATCCGTTTCAACCCTATACAGTCTATTGCCATAGTTGCATAATGCACAGACCAAATGCATGATAAGTCAGGCATGTTATGTATCGAGTTTACAACGGATGTGTGCGATGCTTGGTTTGCATATTCAATTCTAAAATAATATATACTCACCGCCAAAAGAAACGCGAAGTGTGAAATCATGATATTTACAATAAGTGAGAACATGGCGCTTTTTCTAACAACCTTTCTTTATCAAAAGATAACGATAACCCGAGAGAAAGCACTTAAGTGTATATTCTCCACATGACATAGAAATCCCGAATAAATCACATGACGCATGCCTTTAGGAGTTGTCCTTTATAGGGAAACAAACGTTAACGTCAATAACGGGTGTGACCTCCACTGACATCAGCAACATCTGCACATCGCCTCCTGCATGGTGTTTAAGATACGTCAAATGAACCTCCTGCGTCGACAACACTCTGTTGCAGTTGCAGTAAACATGACGTACTCGCTGTTGGTGAATGTGTCTGTCCATCTCATCCCAGCGGGGTTCGATGGGATTCAAATTCAGGCTTCAAGCTGGCCAATCCATCGTCTAGATGTTGTCTGTGTCCGTCTTAATGTGTGTGCTCTCGCTCATATCTTGCTGAAAAACATGATGATCTCTTTGAGCATAAAATGGGCGAATTACTGGTCTCAACACTTCTTCCATGTAGGGCTAGGCAGTGACACCCCTACCACTTTGCCCACTGTTCTGAAACAAATTACATGTTGAACATGACGTCCTCAGCTTATGGCACCCTCAAAACATGTTGGAAGGCCCTCCCCAACGATCTCTCTACAAAACAAAGGGTTCTGAGAATCTTTCACCTCGACGACTGTTGTAAGGTTGTGGACTTTTTGGTCGGCCATTTTCTTTTTATGACGTAACATACGTGTGACCTTTGTGTGACCCACCCTTCTTCGGGAGTCCCCTTCTGGTGTGTGTGTGACCTTCAGGTTGACCTCATTTCACAATGAGCTGACCGTGGTACTTTCCCAGAGGTATTTTTAGACTCGTGTGTGGGCAATATAAGGCCTCCGAACAGTCCCCATGTCATTTGGTCGCCAGAGACAAGGCACGCATCCTCTTGACTCTACTGATTCTGGTAGCTGTTTACCTCGAAGATGGAAGCCGTTCACCGTGATATCCTGAGGAAGAATTACTCCGGCCTAGTGCAAGCTATACAGTATGTACAAGAGGTGGTCGACAAACTGTTACAGTTTGAAGTCCTTACCATCTTCATGAAGGCAGAGATTATCAAAAAACCACAAACCTCCTTTGACCGGGTCAGAACCTTAATAGATACCCTTCCCAGGCGGGGACCAGAAGCCTACACCCTCTTCTGTAAAGCTTTGGAGGAATGCGGAGAGATACAGGCCATGACATTGTTGGGATTAGAGACAGACAAGACAGAGCTACAGGATCCTCGTTGTCATATAGACTTAGGCAACGACGTATTTGTGACGGCCAATATGTGGAATGATGTACTGAACATTCATGTAAGGAAGTACGATGTTTATCCCAGTGGGAGAACTTATCCTACCAAACGTGGTATTGTTTGAAACATTGGCTGGAACTTCGTGGAGTCCATTTCAAGCTTCAGGAGGCCATCGATCAAGGAAGGGCCCATGATTATGCTCATGTGGGAGCCAATATGTATGCTACTTTGGATTCAAATGGTGGTGTAGATCTACGACACTGGGAGAAAAATGAACAACTGGGAAGACTGGTACCTACGGCTAAGGGTATCTTGTTGTCCCTGGACCATTGGAAGAAACTTAGAGACTGTTGTGATGTGATGACAGATTTCGTGCCCGAACTCAAAGACATGGTTCCCTGTCTCCTTCAGGATGATCATCAAAACCAGATGGGACCTTTAACGTGTTCCTTCTGTAATCCCAATGACTATGAATGTTGGAGTAACTGACTATTTTTCTATGGATGGAAGTCTCCCTTCAGTAATTTTCATTCATGCACATTACACATAGATGATCGTACTGTTATAGTGACTAATTCAGGACAGTCATCGTCCAAATATCTAAAAAGTCCAAAACTATGTACTCAAGACATGTGAGACCTTATTGTAATATATAAATGACGCTAAGCTGTATTTTTAATCACTACTGTACATCCTTATCACTACCGCATTGTAAATTGACTTGTCAGCCCATTAATTATTGTATAAGACATTTATAACCTTCATTGGTAATCCCCCATGGCCGTGTCTGCCATCACATCAACTGGTCAAGGAAGTACTATTGTTTTTCTGTCTGTCCATTGATGAGTCGTCACCTGACCATTGTTGTCAAAAACTGTATATATATATATATACTAGGTATGCTCACATGTAGACAGTGAATGAGGACAGTGGAAGGAGTACGAGTTCGGTAGTTGGACTGTCCGTTGGGACGACCACGAGCAGGATAATGCCGCTCGTTGGAAACGCCCTGTGGTTGAGCTGGTACTCCGCTGTTTATGTATGTCTTGTGTATTTGTTTGTCATGTAACTAAAGAAGTTTGAACTCAACTATGCCTTCGTCTTCATCAACGCACACTTCATCTTAATTATGAGCTAATTCCCCAGTTGACGCGTAACACCACGCGTTGACAATTTGGTGTTAGAATCCGGCTGGAGTAACTTTTTAGATTACTCCCGATCTTGAAAACCTCTCTATGTGCCTACCATTAACATTGTGTATCAAGGATGATTCCCCAAGTTCTACATCTACCTGAAGAGATTACAAGCGTCTTGATCAACAAGGATCATCAACGCCACCATCTTCACTGATGCATCATACAACAACCACCTGATGGACAACCTACAAGTTAAGGATGAAACACCCAGATACCACAGTCCAAACAAGTACTTGTGTCTTTCCCACAGAGATCTGATCACAGCCATCATTATGGAGACCCTGTATTTTCATACAGAAAATACCTCAAGGACATCTTCAAGATGGACATTGTGTACAACAGAACTCATCAGGACGTATTTATCTGTGTGTTCTTAATTGGACTCAGTTCAGGATATACAATGTGTTATTGTTGATAAGTGCAACCAGGTATGTTATATCACAGACCAGTACATTATTACGTTCTTATGTCTATACCATAATGTATTAATTGCATGTGAACAATGTGCACCAAATTACTTCTGTAAAATTAAGTCAGAATAGGGATATTCTTGGGACCAGCCACCCACAGACGCACATGTATATTATGTGTCAGTATTAAGAAGACATTAACAGCGAAGTAATATTCAGCATTTTAGTGTTTTGAAGTCAGAGTAGGATTATTGTTATTTTTTTTCTCATTGGGCATAGCACCCACACTATATGGGCAAGCTCTGTCAACGACACAGGAATAGCACCCATTGTAGGATTATTATTTTTTTATTGGGCATAGCACCCACACTATATGGGCAAGCTCCGTCACAGACACGGGAAGAGCACCCATCGTACTTAAACGGGCAACAGTACCCACGAGTACCGTTTGAGTCGCACGGTAAAGTTTGACTCCTGGTTTCAAATTTCTTAATGCAAAATATTTGCTGAGATGTTTATGTGTACTTTTTTTATGACGCTAATTACATGTATTGTCATTATTTGGTACTGAGACTCTAAAACTCTCAATTCTAGCTTATTACTAAAAATCTTGCTTCTCACTAACAATTGTAATTTAGCAATGGGATAAGATAGGTCTCAACCTTAACACGTAGGTGTTATTAATAGTGCTAGGAGATAGAGACGGCCGCTCTACTTCACCCCAGACTTATCTCACCCCTGATTTCAAAAATCTTTTTAATGAAATGTTTATTGAATCTGTCCAACGCAGTAAATACCTGCATGTGAAATGTGCATTACAACACATCAGACTGGCAAGATAATCACTCCTATACTGGCATTGCATAGGCATATCTGTTGCACGAGATTTCAATGACTTTAAGAATTGTTCCTTTGTGATTATTTACTAATCTGAACTGTTGGTATTTATATAGCTTCACTCCTATCAGTTTGGACTCAGTTTATTTAAGCTTGGGGTCCAAGCTTTACGGAGCAGAGGGAAGTTGTTATAGTGACTAATTCAGGACAGTCATCGTCCAAATATCTAAAAAGTCCAAAACTATGTACTCAAGACATGTGAGACCTTATTGTAATATATAAATGACGCTAAGCTGTATTTTTAATCACTACTGTACATCCTTATCACTACCGCATTGTAAATTGACTTGTCAGCCCATTAATTATTGTATAAGACATTTATAACCTTCATTGGTAATCCCCCATGGCCGTGTCTGCCATCACATCAACTGGTCAAGGAAGTACTATTGTTTTTCTGTCTGTCCATTGATGAGTCGTCGCCTGACCATTGTTGTCAAAAACTGTATATATATATACTAGGTATGCTCACATGTAGACAGTGAATGAGGACAGTGGAAGGAGTACGAGTTCGGTAGTTGGACTGTCCGTTGGGACGACCACGAGCAGGATAATGCCGCTCGTTGGAAACGCCCTGTGGTTGAGCTGGTACTCCGCTGTTTATGTATGTCTTGTGTATTTGTTTGTCATGTAACTAAAGAAGTTTGAACTCAACTATGCCTTCGTCTTCATCAACGCACACTTCATCTTAATTATGAGCTAATTCCCCAGTTGACGCGTACATACACGCGTTGACAGTACCTTCAATTGTACTGAACAATATTACATGTATTCTAAGGCAATTTACTTTGGTGATCATACACTCGCAAGTCGTATTTTACAAGAGACTGTTCCGGCTAAGCAAAAACGTCTTGGGAGATGTGTGAAAGGCTTTACTCAGAAAGTGTGGGACACTGTCAGTCTTGATGTTATGACTAAGGCATTAATGGCTAAATTTTCCCAAAACAATGACTTGAAACAGATATTGATTCAATCCTACCCTAAACCGTTAGCTGAAGCTAGCCCTTTTGATAAAAGATGGGGGATAGGCATTGATGTTTCTCATCCTGATATTGACAAACCCTGGAAAT